ATATATGTATAATACTAAGTGCTACTAACTGGTCCAGATGAGCAATTGTATACTACTAGTATCAGTCATTTATGACGTCGAGCAGCTGACATATTGTGAAATTTTGATTTCCACAGGAAACTGTGGTGAAATCTAACCTCGAAATTTGTCTGATCATTTGGGCTCAACAGATATACACTGAAACCAAAGATGGTGGAGAATTTTGTCAATTAATAAGTTTTTCAAGACTTAATCTGTAAGGATTGGATTTGTTTCAAGTTTGATCACGGATCGATATCATTTAGTGAACCATTGAGAACTAGGAAGTATTGGGCAGCCGTTTCATTCCATTTGGAGACTTATCAGTCGTACACAATATCCTCCTCGGTTCAAAACCAGGAGGACCTTTCAGTCACAAAGTGGGTTTGTAGACCACTCAGTCAGAGGAAATTGATATACTGGCCTACGAATTTTAACTTGGAGTGGTAGTCCATTTTAACTCAAATGTCAACATTTTTAAACGACAGATAAATGCAACTGATACACATGAAGTTTCAAGAATATTGCATGACGAATTTCTGGATGTCACTAGTAACCCTAAACCTATCTATCTTAGTATAATATTTGTGCTCTTTCACGTGCTTATGATGATCGGTGCTGACAGCATTCAGTGAAGGTGAATAACCATTTGATGAACAAGTCAGCTTGTTTATTCCGGTTTATTCTTTTCAAATTATCATCACAAATCTATGATCACTTGGATAAATAAAGTTTATTATTGACGATGCATGTTATTAGTTATTTGTAAACATTGTACAATACAGAACACAATTATTTTCTCATAGAAACAAACATTTGTGTACTTAATAATCTGACATTTGTATTTTGTCCTAAACTAATTGGTCAGTACATGGTGTGTGCAATTAAGAAGTATAAGGTTACCCACATGACGTATTAGCATAGTCTTAGACAGTGTAATCTGTGACCTGATTATATATAAGTGACCAAGTATCTAACTCAAGAAGTGAATAACTCATGTCTGAACTTCGGGGGATTGACTTGCTACCTGGTAATAATCTCGTTGACTTGGAATATGCAGACGATATAGTCCTTCTAGGCGAAGACGCTGACAAAATGCAGTCTTCTAAACACCTTGAACAGCAATCTACGAATGTTTGGCATGCGATTCGCTCCCGCCAAATGCAAGATGATGTTACAGGACTGGACTACATCGACGCCTAGTTTAAAAATAGGAAGTGAAGTGGTAGAGCACGTTGACCGCTTCACTTATTTGGGAAGTACCATCAGCCCCAACGGGTTGATCTCTGACGAAATCTCAGCACGAATACAAGGGGCTCGTTTCGCATTTGTTAGTTTACGCCGACTCTGGCGTAGACGAGATGTTCGACTATCGACCAAAGGGCGGGTGTACTGCTCATCAGTCCGCTCCATCCTCCTTTATGGTTGTGAGACCTGGCCACTGAGAGTGGAAGACATGAAAAGACTAGCTGTCTTTGATCATAGGTGCCTCCGCTCTATTTCCCGTGTAAAGTGGTATAATAAGGTGAGCAACATGGAGATTAGGCGTAGAGTCCTAGGTAAACAGGGGAAATCAATCGACGAAGTCGTGAAGCTACATCGACTGAGATGGTTAGGACATGTGTTACGTATGCCAAGCCATCGCCTCCCTCGACGAGCTATGTTAGCGGATATAGGGTCAGGCTGGAAAAAAGCTAGCGGCGGTCAAACAAAAACTTGGCATCAGTCAATGAAATCCACAACAGTTGGTCTTAGCCACGTAGGAAGGTGTAGACTTCCAGGCTGGGGTCCTCGGGACGGCAAAAATCTATGGTTGGAAACAATTGGTGACATGGCTCAAAACCGTTCTCAGTGGCGCAGATGCATCCACTCCCTGTGACTTATGATCTTCAATGAAATTGTTTTGTATTTCTTTATTACTCCTTTGTCTCACACCTCTGCTCACTGTTTCTATTATGCTTTTCTTGTACTTTCTTCTCTTGCTTCGCGTGCTACACGGAATGTGGCGACTTGAACTTCCGCACATTTGTGCAAAGTTCTATGTCGAAAACAGACAGACAGACAGAACCTCGGGGGTAATGTTATTTTCCTCATAATTGCCTATTCATTTAGCTGGTGAGTGTTCACAAGGATGAAACCGTTGACCTAGATGTCTTCTTCACTACTGATGATGACTGACAACGTCGAATATCATACTATTGTGTAACACGGTCTGCAACAGCGTTTTGTTTCTTTGGCCACATATCACATTGTACAACTGACTAATAGATTGAGTGACTAATAAACTGACTGAAACTCAGAAACCTATTCATATTACACTAACAAAGTTCCTTGATATGCGTTCAGAAATGCGGACAACAACCCTTCTGTCTGTTGTTTCAGTGTATGCACTTTGACGATAATATCTATGATATCTAAAGCAATTAGTTCCCTTTATGAATTTCGACAACACAATAAGAAGACGAAGTTTATCTGAAACGTGTAATGTATTGGCGCAACACATTTCGGACATTCTTATCACACACGTATTTGTCATACACAGTTTTTATAGAAGGCTAGAAAGCATGAATAATTACAACACAGCGAATAAATTTTTCTGTATATTTCAAAATAGTTAAGCTCAGCTCCGAGGTAGAAATTTGTCTGATCATTTGGGCTCAACAGATATACACTGAAACCAAAGATGGTGGAGAATTTTGTCAATTAATAAGTTTTTCAAGACTTAATCTGTAAGGATTGGATTTGTTTCAAGTTTGATCACGGATCGATATCATTTAGTGAACCATTGAGAACTAGGAAGTATTGGGCAGCCGTTTCATTCCATTTGGAGACTTATCAGTCGTACACAATATCCTCCTCGGTTCAAAACCAGGAGGACCTTTCAGTCACAAAGTGGGTTTGTAGACCACTCAGTCAGAGGAAATTGATATACTGGCCTACGAATTTTAACTTGGAGTGGTAGTCCATTTTAACTCAAATGTCAACATTTTTAAACGACAGATAAATGCAACTGATACACATGAAGTTTCAAGAATATTGCATGACGAATTTCTGGATGTCACTAGTAACCCTAAACCTATCTATCTTAGTATAATATTTGTGCTCTTTCACGTGCTTATGATGATCGGTGCTGACAGCATTCAGTGAAGGTGAATAACCATTTGATGAACAAGTCAGCTTGTTTATTCCGGTTTATTCTTTTCAAATTATCATCACAAATCTATGATCACTTGGATAAATAAAGTTTATTATTGACGATGCATGTTATTAGTTATTTGTAAACATTGTACAATACAGAACACAATTATTTTCTCATAGAAACAAACATTTGTGTACTTAATAATCTGACATTTGTATTTTGTCCTAAACTAATTGGTCAGTACATGGTGTGTGCAATTAAGAAGTATAAGGTTACCCACATGACGTATTAGCATAGTCTTAGACAGTGTAATCTGTGACCTGATTATATATAAGTGACCAAGTATCTAACTCAAGAAGTGAATAACTCATGTCTGAACTTCGGGGGATTGACTTGCTACCTGGTAATAATCTCGTTGACTTGGAATATGCAGACGATATAGTCCTTCTAGGCGAAGACGCTGACAAAATGCAGTCTTCTAAACACCTTGAACAGCAATCTACGAATGTTTGGCATGCGATTCGCTCCCGCCAAATGCAAGATGATGTTACAGGACTGGACTACATCGACGCCTAGTTTAAAAATAGGAAGTGAAGTGGTAGAGCACGTTGACCGCTTCACTTATTTGGGAAGTACCATCAGCCCCAACGGGTTGATCTCTGACGAAATCTCAGCACGAATACAAGGGGCTCGTTTCGCATTTGTTAGTTTACGCCGACTCTGGCGTAGACGAGATGTTCGACTATCGACCAAAGGGCGGGTGTACTGCTCATCAGTCCGCTCCATCCTCCTTTATGGTTGTGAGACCTGGCCACTGAGAGTGGAAGACATGAAAAGACTAGCTGTCTTTGATCATAGGTGCCTCCGCTCTATTTCCCGTGTAAAGTGGCATAATAAGGTGAGCAACATGGAGATTAGGCGTAGAGTCCTAGGTAAACAGGGGAAATCAATCGACGAAGTCGTGAAGCTACATCGACTGAGATGGTTAGGACATGTGTTACGTATGCCAAGCCATCGCCTCCCTCGACGAGCTATGTTAGCGGATATAGGGTCAGGCTGGAAAAAAGCTAGCGGCGGTCAAACAAAAACTTGGCATCAGTCAATGAAATCCACAACAGTTGGTCTTAGCCACGTAGGAAGGTGTAGACTTCCAGGCTGGGGTCCTCGGGACGGCAAAAATCTATGGTTGGAAACAATTGGTGACATGGCTCAAAACCGTTCTCAGTGGCGCAGATGCATCCACTCCCTGTGACTTATGATCTTCAATGAAATTGTTTTGTATTTCTTTATTACTCCTTTGTCTCACACCTCTGCTCACTGTTTCTATTATGCTTTTCTTGTACTTTCTTCTCTTGCTTCGCGTGCTACACGGAATGTGGCGACTTGAACTTCCGCACATTTGTGCAAAGTTCTATGTCGAAAACAGACAGACAGACAGAACCTCGGGGGTAATGTTATTTTCCTCATAATTGCCTATTCATTTAGCTGGTGAGTGTTCACAAGGATGAAACCGTTGACCTAGATGTCTTCTTCACTACTGATGATGACTGACAACGTCGAATATCATACTATTGTGTAACACGGTCTGCAACAGCGTTTTGTTTCTTTGGCCACATATCACATTGTACAACTGACTAATAGATTGAGTGACTAATAAACTGACTGAAACTCAGAAACCTATTCATATTACACTAACAAAGTTCCTTGATATGCGTTCAGAAATGCGGACAACAACCCTTCTGTCTGTTGTTTCAGTGTATGCACTTTGACGATAATATCTATGATATCTAAAGCAATTAGTTCCCTTTATGAATTTCGACAACACAATAAGAAGACGAAGTTTATCTGAAACGTGTAATGTATTGGCGCAACACATTTCGGACATTCTTATCACACACGTATTTGTCATACACAGTTTTTATAGAAGGCTAGAAAGCATGAATAATTACAACACAGCGAATAAATTTTTCTGTATATTTCAAAATAGTTAAGCTCAGCTCCGAGGTAGATATTCTTCGATGAAGCAAATAATATCTTTTGTTTCATTAATAGCTTCTTCAAGTTTTTTCCCATTGGAATCAAAATCCTCTAAAAGCTTTGTTTGAGATTTCTTGTCTTCCTCTAAAAAGGAAATAAGACGGCATTAGTTTTCTGTAATCACAACCGGTGAATTTCATCAGAAATGACAACAACAAAAAATACTCTGTAGACAAGCAAAAGTTGAAATAACGTCGAAAATCTGAAGCCTAAATAGATGCATTTTATATGAGCTTAATAGTTTCTATTATGAAGCTAAACTTTGATTGGACACTAGTAGCTAGTGTAATGTGTCTAGTCCTTTCTTTGGTGCAGACTGAATTCTATAAGCCAGGTTTGTAATATGGCCACCATTCTTGGTAGCTCGACATCACGGTGCACATTGATTTGATGATATTCGATGGTTGGAGACGGTCGGAAGCAAACCCAATCTCACCTAGGTTTGGTGATGGTTGGCACTCACCAGTCACCAAGGCGTATCTGCAACCTTGAAGGAACTCATGTCCCTTCAGAGATTCGAACCCGCGTCACCCAGTGCTGCAGTCGGAGACGTTACCACTGAGCTATTCGGGCTAGCGATTGACCTCCTGTAGAACTGTAGTGGGTATTTTGATTGAACACTAATAACCTGACTGATGGAGTTCAGTCTGCACCAAAGAAAGGACAAGGCATATCACACTAGTTACTGACTATTTTCTAATCAAAGTATCCACTATAGTCATACAGGAGGTCAATCGCGAGACTGAATAGCTCAGTGGTAACGTCTCTCACTGCAGTACTCACTAGGAGACGCGGATTCGAATCTCAAGGGGGACATGAGTTCCCTCAAGGTTGCAGATACGCCTTGCTGACTGACTGGTGAGTGCCAACTAACACGAAATCTAGGTCAGACTAGGCTTCCTTTCGATTGCCTCCAACCATCTAATATCATCAAATGAAGCTTAACTGTATGAATAGACTCAGTATAACATACGTCAAGCTATCGTACCGGTGATCAAAGAGACAAAGAGCACATTGCTCAACTCTAGAACAAAACAAAAGACCGATGGATAAAGAAAAATCATTCTTATACTACTAGGTCTCACATACAAAGGAAAAACCACAACAGTTATGGCGAGAGATGACAACTTATTTACGGATGGTAATGTGTAATGGTAACATATCCTACGTAAATATTGGACAGTTGAATCAAAAGTTCCTTCATATCGTCACCCTCTCTGAGAGATTCTAAAACACAGGCAAACTTACCAGCGCGTCAAGCGCTTGCCATATAATAATAGCTCACTGATGGCTAGTGCATTGATTTTCTGAAGCTGTGATGGGAAGTCATGACCAGTAGGATCTACCACTCTATTACGCGTAACTTTTCTGAATTTATAATCTGCAATGCTGAGTGTGAATCAAAGTGTTGGTAGGAGTGTTAGGCGTTAAAATAATCATCTGCAATGTGTACGAAGTAGTAGTCCTCAATATTTGTAAAATAACATTTCATGCCAATGTCATTTTCAATGAGTATTCGCCATGGTCACATATTAACACTCACTGAATCAATCTCTCACTTGCGTCTCGGCCAAAACAAGAGATTGCAAACTATTTTCCTTTTTGAATACGCTACATTCAAATACATTAGTCACTTAACATAAATCTTACCTCGAACTTTATTGTAATTAATTTGATTTCCTTCAAGAGTCATCAACAAATTGTCTAGAGACTCGGATTCTTCTCGGGCTAAAGAAGATTCTTGAACCAGACTTCGAATAGATTTCAATATTATATTCGGGGTCTACAACAAAAACAAGAAGTCGGTAAATATTATTTCGTAAAAAAAGGCATTCTAACACTTTAATATGTTTGTGAAAAGGGTTCACTCGAGGCTAATTACAAATTTGAATAAAGCTAGAAAAGAACAACGCCTTGTGCACAGAATAACATCGGACCATCGTCTATCTCGTCGACTTCTCATCAACTACATACAAACTGAAGTGATTATTAAGTTCATGTAGAGAACAATTTTAACATACTTGCTTCCAAATGTTACATGACATCAGTCAGCAGGAGAGACTGTAAGCTTGATGAACACTGCTCAGAAATTACACTTAGATAACAACTTATACACAGAAGAAGATTCAAGTTTAAACAAAACAAAGTCAAAAAAGTAAAATTAAATAAATGTTTGCATATGGTGGAAAAGCAGTTGCATAATAAGGACAAGAGGTGAGTAAGATGATGGGTAACTAATAAATCGAGTAACAATGTGGTGAATTCAACTCAAATCATTGGAACAAGAGACAGACAAAATTACATCATAGCGAAGGGTAAGAGGTTAAAGCCAGAGATTACGTAACTAAATGGAAGGGAATGAGAATAAAGACACTGAGTTACCATTTCAAGTGAAGAAAGACTGATAACTGTTTCCTTTTGAACGCATAAGTCAGGTTTCAAGCGTTTGGTCTCAGACGCTTTGGTAGACCTGAGGGAGAGTTGAGCTATTTTGTTTATTAATAATTTTAAAGGATTTTACTATGTCCACTTCATAACCTGCATCGACGAAGTGCGTGACGATAGCACTATTGAAAGCGTTTGTTCCTTTCAGACGTCGTCCTTTGGGTCAAGTGATCCTTTAAGTTCCCAGTGGAACATAGGACTTTAAGATAGAGCTTTGAAGTTTCGGTAGCAGTGGTGTTTTATTTTCACGAGGTGAGGTTGCTAGCCTCATGCCCAACCTTACCTCTTTATCAGTCTTATTACTAGGCTAGCAAGGTAAAGGAATGCATCAGCCAGGGATCGAACCCCAAACCACCTGCGTGGTTGACAGGCATTCTACTACTGTGCCGACAACGCACTAGGCCTTTTGGTACATGTTCAAAAAATCTTCTTTCTGTTTTCTAAATGTAACTGGTACTGCAAATACATGTAAATTTGTATACATTGTATGAGCTAATATAAGATTGCATCAGAGAGCATTTTGTCCGATAAACGGGAACTATCTTGGCTGCAGGATAGGCTCTGGTTAGCGACGTATTCATTCTTCTGTTGCCTATCCCTCAAGTTTTCCTACGCAACTAAGATCGAACGCTTGAAACCTGACTTATGCGTTCAAAAGGAAACAGTTATCAGTCTTTCTTCACTTGAAATGGTAACTCAGTGTCTTTATTCTCATTCCCTTCCATTTAGTTACGTAATCTCTGGCTTTAACCTCTTACCCTTCGCTATGATGTAATTTTGTCTGTCTCTTGTTCCAATGATTTGAGTTGAATTCACCACATTGTTACTCGATTTATTAGTTACCCATCATCTTACTCACCTCTTGTCCTTATTATGCAACTGCTTTTCCACCATATGCAAACATTTATTTAATTTTACTTTTTTGACTTTGTTTTGTTTAAACTTGAATCTTCTTCTGTGTATAAGTTGTTATCTAAGTGTAATTTCTGAGCAGTGTTCATCAAGCTTACAGTCTCTCCTGCTGACTGATGTCATGTAACATTTGGAAGCAAGTATGTTAAAATTGTTCTCTACATGAACTTAATAATCACTTCAGTTTGTATGTAGTTGATGAGAAGTCGACGAGATAGACGATGGTCTGATGTTATTCTGTGCACAAGGCGTTGTTCTTTTCTTGCTTTATTCAAATTCATAAATGGCAATATATGTAAATGAACTGACTAGAAAATTTGTAAAAATCAAAAATTTAAGGCGAATAATGACAAACACCCCTCTAATAAAATTATAACGCGTCATGGCTACACAAACTTATCAGACAGTGAGTGTATTTAAGAAGTTCTACCTTGTTCGGATTCAGCAGAAAATCCTAATAACAAGACGGAGAAAAATTCAACATATCAGCACAAGATTCATTCGGGTCTCAACGAAGTACAAAATACAACAAATCTCTGCATACACAAATGAGTATGGAGAGAGATACACGACATTCCTAATTCATAGACTGGTGGCAATGTTACAGAGAAATAGAGGCCCTAAAGCTGGTTAAGAATAGTGGTGATAAGTGCAGATGTACCTTCACTCTGCTTATAGAGTTTTGTGTAGGGCTTTCTGACGCTAAGAAGCTTCACACGAATGTCTCTCCTTAGTAGATTACTTCAGGAAGCAGTCCTCTCTAAGGTCTGCAATACTTTTTGTGTCCTAGGCACTCACAGTTAGTCAACAGAAGATTGTTGCATCAAAGGCTTGTAGGAAAATCAGAGTGACCTCCGCATGCTACTTTAACAAGTGTGTTTCGTGAAGTTTATAAAGCACTATGGCGACCAGAATGATACTTTAACTCAATAACTCATTATCATCATTAGCGCCATTGTCCTTAAACATCTTGAGAAAAACACTGTATATTCCTACCGCAGCAGTCAATGCCTTTTTTTATAACTTACGCCTTCGTCACTTAGAACTGATTGGAAAACTTTACGGAGTCTTTTAGTCGGCTTATAATTGGACACATTTCGCTACACGTTGTGTCAGTCGCCTTGTACGGACCCACTCAGATAGCAAAATGATGACCCTTTAATTTCGAAAAACCTCAGAGAGTCGACAAGGATTAGTTAGAAAATCCACAGACGATGCTATGGCGAATTTTCTAACCTCACCATGTTGGTTAGGTATGCTTAGGTGAATAACAACATATCTTTCTTGTATGGGTATCTCAGCGTTATACAAAACACATGCATACATACATAAACGTAACAATTCACACGCTGAACGGAACTCACCGTGACATCATGTTCATCCAAAGCAAACAAACGACAACAACCTGTATATAAACTATTGGCACACAATCTCTCGGCGACGGTTCTGTTTCTGTAGATAAAAGTACATGTTAACAAATCATCAAAAGTAACAGGAAAACAAGTAACAATTAGTGGAATATTATATAGGGAACCCTCCATAAATACGTAAATCCCTTGATAAATAATAAAAACTTGTGCATATATATATATATATATATATATATATTGAAAATAGACCCAGAAACAACAGCGGACTTGATGACGACATTACTGGAGAAGGTGTGGAAAGAGGGCAAAGTACCCGAGGATTGGAAGAAAGGATACCTATTCAAACTACCAAAGAAAGGAGACTTAAGTCAATGTAAAAACTGGTGCGGAATTATGCTCCTGTCCATCCCAAGCAAAATAATAAGCCACATCATCCTGGAGAGAATCAAACACACTGTCCTGGATGAAAAACTTCGACCGGAACAGGCTGGATTCAGGAGAAACAAGTCATATTTTGATCAAATTGCCAGACTACGGATCATCGTTGAACAAAGCTTAGAATGGCAGTCACCTCTCCACCGCACTCAACTTCATCGACTTTGAAAAGGCATTCGACAGCGTCGATCGAGAGGTCATTTGGCAACTACATCGCTACTACCAAGGTGTGCCACCGACAACTATACATCTCATCCAACAGTTGTACGACAATGCTGCATCCCAAGTAATCCACAACGGGAAACTTACGGAATCCTTCGAAGTGAAGACAGGAGTAAGACAAGGCTGTCTACTATCCCCAATGATCTTCCTGATTGCAGTAGATTGGATAATGCGACAGACAACGGGTAATGAGGAAACAGGCGTAAAATGGACTCACACAAAAAAACTTGGAGGATCTGGACTTCGCCGATGATCTATGTCTCATTTCCCACAAACTGGAAGATATGAAAGTGAAAAGCAACAAGTTGGCAGAAGAAGCATCAAAGATAGGACTTCAGGTGAACATAGATAAAACAGAGATTATGAAGATTACTGGCCAACAGAAACAGCAACTACAACAACAGACAGCAACCAGCATAAATGGGAAGAATCTGAAGGAAGCAACCTCCTTTACCTACCGACCTGGGAAGCATCGTTTCAACTACAGGCGGACGGAACTGATGAGGATATCAAAGTGAGGATCGGGAAAGTAAGGCAAGTTTCCATTACTCTCAAGTCTGTGTGGAGGTCAACAGCACTCAGCATCATATATATATATATATATAGGGAGAGAGAGAGAGAGAATTATTGACTGACTGGTTTCGACGTAGAACTTAGTACAGAAATGCACCACTTCAAGTTGCCACACTCTACGAACCATACAAAGGAAGAAAACAGAGATTCAGAATAAAGGTGATAAGCAGAAATGTGACGGACAAAGAATAGTAACATGGAAAAAAGATAAGAGAGTAATAGATATAGGAGACCACAAAGAGTGAATGCATCTGCGCCACTGACAGCGATTTTGAGCCATATCACCAACTGTCTCCAGATATTGGTTCTTCTAATCCCCAAGACCACAATCAGGAAGTCTACATGTCACCACGTGGGTGGCTCAAATTAACTGCCAACGAATCCATGGACTGATTCCAAGTTTCAGTTCGACAACTACTAGCTCTTTTCCAACTCAACTATATGTCAGCTAATATCATCTGTCGAGGACAGCAATGGTTAGGAATGCGTAACACATATCTTAGGCATTTCAATCGATGTAGCTTCACAACCTCATCTGTCTATCTGTCTGTCTGTTTTCGACATAAAACTTTGCACCGATGTGCGACAGTTCAAGTCGCCACACTCCACGTAGCACACAAACCATGAAAAGAAAGTATAAGAAATCCGAAATAGAGACAGTAAACAGAGGTGTGAGACAAAGGAATAGTAATAACGAAGAACAATATGATTTCACTGGAAACTATAAGTCACAAGGAGTGGATGCATCTGCGACAGCTATTGACAACGATCACTTTGAGCAATATTATCAATTGTTTCTAGCCATTGGTGTTTACTGTCCCGAGGACCCCAACCAGTCAGGAAGTCTACATCTTCCTACGTGGTTTAAACTAACTGTTGTGGATTTTATTGATTGATGAGGCCATGTTTCGGTTTGACCGCCGCTAGCTCTTTTCTAGTCTGACCCTATGGTCATAAAAAAATCGCCGAAAAATATCTTCGCTGGGCTTTTTATTCCTTTCTCTTCAGTATCTTCATGGGTATTTTCCACCATTGAAAAGTAGTTAAAATCAAAACTTAACATCAAGTAACCAGCAGTGGAGTCCGGGGTTAGTACTTCGTCCCATTTGAGCCTCGCCAGCTGAACGTACGTGCACAACCCTCAGTGAGTGGGTGAGTGATGGTGTTCCCAGTGGGACTCAAACCCAGGAGTCAAACATTTCGGTCCAGTCAATCAACAGGAAAATCAAAATTAATTTAAACATCTAAAATTCGCGACAGTTTAGGGAAAATAAATTATGACACAGCTGCAAGTGCCCATATCAGTATTTGTGATAGGAATATGGGAAAATAGAAATACCTACCCAGAACATTCCCCATTTTTGATGATTTTCTGAAGTATCCTTTTCAATAAATCATCAGATGGACATTTATTGATTGTTTCATTTATCTGATTCGACAGTTCGTGTTTCATATGCTTCACCTGTTGTAGGTATAGACATAAAAAGGAAATAAGTATAATTGAGAATGAACACAAACACCATTACAAAACAACCGAATATACAAACATATTCATTAATCATATTAGACGGTTGGAGGCAATCACTAGGAAGCCCAGTCTGACCTAAGTTTCACGCTTGTTGGCACTCTCATAAGTCAGCAACTCACATCCGTCATCTTGAAGGAACTTATGTCTCTTATGAGATTCGAACCAATGTCACTACTCAGTGCCGCAGTCAGTGTTGCCACTGAAATATTCAGGCTCACGATTGGTCTCCTGTGGGATTATATTGGATACTTTGATTGGACGCTAGTTACTAACTATGGATACAAAATCAAGCAAAGTTCAACAATAGCGTCCAAGGAGTGCGAACGCACAAGTGACCTTCAGCTAACCAATCATAAAAATGAGGAATGTTTGCTTAAAAAATGATGTATATTGACAAGAAAATGCTTGAAAACGCATTAAACAGGTTATCTTTCTCTGACATGACTTAAAAATACGTCCTAGTTATAACGAGGAGTATCAGTTTCAAAGTTAGACTAGTTTCTGTACATATATTCACCGAGATGACTACAGATGAGCTGTTTTTGTGAATCGTTTATCTCTCTCATCCTGCTTGCAGTCTTCCCAAAAAGCCCTCGGTTGGATTATTATGGTTTCCAGCAAGAGGATAGACGACTGCTTACCAGGAAAACGTGGATAATAAAAAACATTAAAATAAATGACATGAACTATAAATCTATCCCTAATCGTAACCATAAGCTTAATCCTGACCCTAACACTAAACTTAACCTTAATCCTAACCCTAATCATAAGCCCTATTCAAACCCTAACCCTAATGCTAATTATAACCCTGATCCTTAACCCTATTCCTAACCCTAACACATTGTCCAAACAGTACTTAAAAACGTGATCTGGGTGAACTTTGCTCCTAAATTAATGAATAGCGTTGATATTTCAGCTGTGATAATGACAGGTGTCGTTAGCCAATGACTAGTATTGGAGCGTTAACACTCCTGGGACACTATTGTTGAACTTCTCCCAAAATCAAAATATTGCCTTTGTTCAAAGCTTATCAAGGGAGCTAGGTGTATGAAAATATGGATTAAGTGGTATTTTAAGGTTATACACTGTAATGCATCCGGGAACCTTTTTTATAGCGAAGACCTGTATCAACAATAAAAAAGAGGATATCAGCTATTACTCGAGTGATAAGAACAATTTTATGCTGCATAGATTTGTAAAATTTACAAAAATGGCTGAGGAGATTCTCCCGAAATACCAACTTCAAACACTTCACTACTGCTACTAATGTGACGTATGCTACTGATAAGATTTATAAGTAGATTAAAGCTACAGACCAAATATATATATCATTGTCAAGAATATCGAATGGCGGAGAAATGGATTTAATGACGAAGAGCAGAAATGAACGACTCTTGTGAAACAATTTAAAAACAATGAAAGGAAGACAAAGATGCATAATACGGAAGGCATGTGCAAATTTTGATTTTAATATATAGACTTGTCATTTAATAATTACGTTGTCAAATACGCTTGGTGCAATCATTACGACTAAAGATAGTGAGAATGGTAGTAATAATAAAAGCCTTATATGTAAAATTGTGTGCTAATAGGTCCAATCGTAGAATCACTCGCCAACCATGCCTCACGTGATCCGAGGTCTTATCCCTAGTCTATGCACTGCTTAACCCCGCACAACCAGTAGTAATCATCATAAAAAGAGAAGGCTGGGTGGGAGGCTGGTATTCCCCACCCCCGTAGAAAAAATACCGCTGTGGCGTGTGCCACTGATAAGATTTATCAGTAGAATTGCGGTGAGAACTGTCTGCAAAACAAAACTGTCAACAACAATTTACGTCAACGTTTACGTTCCAAATCTTGGTCATGACAGAAAACAAGAACAAAGCCGAACCTTGAGGAACTCAACAACCGATCACAGCGGACTTAGCGTGGGCGGATACGATTCACTGATATATTAGCGGACTGTCTAAGAAACGGACACAAAGAGATGACAGAATAACCTTCAGCAAGAAAACAACCAATTAGAAGACGTTGCTTCTCTGTTAACAATAACGAATAATAATGTAAATAAAAATCTACAAATATCTGTTGATTTTCTTAATAAACGACCTGTTGCCCGGCCCTTGTCTTCTGTCGTTACAGTATACGCAAAGAGATATTCATCGGCATAAAATCATCTCAGAGAAAGCAAATAATGCAGAGTTGCAGAGGTACATGGGAGACGATGTGAAAGGAACACAAAGAAACACAAGATGAAGGAAGGTCAGGAGTAGCACAACACGTAAGATGATCTGAGCAAATAGTGATTTGGAGATAAGGATGTACATAATTCCGTTATATAGCGATACTAAATCCTAAATAAACATTCCTTTACCAAGTCTCTCGTCTTCTACCTTTACATCAACACTGATACTAAAACTTTAAGGCACAAACTTAAAGTCTTATCTCCCTCTGGGAACGCAAAAGAATAAAAATAAAAAAATAATCTCTTATACAGAAAGATTAACAAACACAACTAACCTCTTCACATAATGAAGGTAAATTAGACAACAGATTTTCAGATTTTTCATGCAACCGTAATATTGATTTTCGTTTATCCGCCTTAATTTATTGGACATAGAAAAAGTAGATTTAAAAAAAGTGTTCTAAGCTGTAGAACTGTGGAAACTTCAATTTCAAACCAAAAGCAAAACTGGCGGCTTGAGAATGAAACACTCAAGGCCGTTTTCAGGTGATTATCAAGACACCGGCAATAATGGTTCAAATATTTTAATCTAAGTGTAGAATTTGGACATTATGCTGGTAGAATGTAATTCCATATCAGATAAATTTATTTCAAATAGCATGCACTGATACAGTATTAATAATTGAATAATATTTTGAGCACAACAATTTATTGCTCATAATCATATCGATTTGATCACACGGCTTCACAGTTTGTCTTGTATATATATATTTTCTCTCTTTCTGTCTCGTCATCCTCCCCTTGGTGTTTATTGCCACTTACTATATTTCTGGTGTAGGCGTTGCGTTATTTCGACTGCAGGCGTTTGATGTTTAATTCGATGAACAAAAAAGATCCATTCCATCCAGAATCGGTAAGGGCAGGTTTAGATAAATGTCTCTAGAATCGGACCAAGAGCCTAACTAGTAAGATTTAAATGATGAAATCAAACTAATAATGAAAAAAATTACTAGTGAATAACTACCCACCAGAATTTATTTTTAAAAATGTATGAATACTCAAAAAAAGAAGCAGTTGTTAATGCTTTCCTTGAAGCTGCCATCAAGGCTTTGAGCAACATAAAAGGCGCATTGAACTGACACTGATGTTGAAAACATGAATTTTGTTCTTTATACAAACGCTGTAGAGGTCTACAACTATTTCATAGTAATGAATACCTATCCAGCTTTCCTGATCCTTAATGGATTTTGAAACCCTTATTAATTTCGCCTGCTTGTAGTTGGAATGACTTTTCCTAGATTCCCTCCCCCCTCCCCATTAATTGTGGTAGGTACTTGTTCGTGGTGGTACGGGGAACTTCATCACCTCTGTCTTCTCTATGTTCATTTGAAGTCCTTTCATCACTGCCTCCATCCAACAACTTCATAATTTTCTCTTATCAATTTTCGAGATTATTCAGTATAAGACATAAATCATCTGAGGAATCCAGACCTTCTAGAGTCTTTTCGCTAGCCCAACGTATACTCATCTTCCCACTCCCCACAATCTCCCTCGTGATCCAGTCCACTACAATCATAAATATATCGTCGGTGGTAGTAGGCAGCCTCTTCTTACTCCTGTCTTCACTTCGCATGCCTCACTCTGTCATCCGTCCCCGAATCAAGGAGTCTCACCAAATTCAGTAGAAAAGAAGTTGGTTTCTTCTGTACTTTGGGCTTTCAGTAGCGATGGAGTTGTTAGTCCTACGCCCACAATTACTCCTTTTCCAAACTTCGTTTTTAATTGCTACCTACTAGACAGCAGCTGGTGCAATCTCCTAAATATTACCTAAATAATCAGTACACTCAGAGTGGAAGGACTAGATAACCGTTTTGTACTATTCTAGGGTTCTTCATCAGTTTTCAGCCATGAACCCATCAAATATTAATTGACCTTCCAGACAAAAGTAGACAGTTTAATATCCATAATTTAGTACAGCGTCAGTATGAATCATTGTGTCTGAATAAATACTGTGTGCGGAAGAAAACAATCAGATGTTGAACACTAAACATAACCATGATGAATATTTTAAAATTAATAAACATTTTTGGCCATTCCGCTTACCAAAAGGCTCTCGAGATCTGCTGTATCCACTTTACCATCAGAAAGGTATATTTTCTTATCTTCTATTCTGGACTTCAACTCCATAATACGACTATTTAAATAACTGGCTCTTGAATGAGGTGTTTGTATTGTGCATTTTTGAGGTATACTAGCCTGAAACAACGGAAAGATTCCTTGCGTTAACTACATTCTTATGTCAAAACTCGGCATAACTTCATCTACAACATCTGTAACATTTCCAATGGAAGCATGAAGATAAACATCTCATATAAAAGGATTGTAAAGAAACACTGAGTACCTAATGGATTACATTTACTTTTCTATAAACCACTTAAAACAGTGGGAAAAACTGATGCGTCAAAAGTAACTCTATTTAACTGAACTCCATTTTAAACGGAAGGCAATCGAGTAGTTTCACTGGACAGATCAGTGACGACAGTAAATTCTCAAACCAGACTTGTGAAAAAAGACAACACTGGAGAAAGTGAAAAAATTGGGTTAACAAAGGTTCTTTTGAAAATGAAACAGGACTCAGCAATTAGCTTGAATTGAAGATGTATTCTAGAAGGAGGACGACAATGGCAGCTTCGTAACTAAATCAACTGTCTCAAAGAGAACACAAACAAATGAGAAACAGAAGTTGCTTAAACTTCATTAAAATATAAGGGATAGACAGAAGTCAGCACGAGAAATAGAGTATATGTAAGGTATCAGCGATCGTTGTAATATAAACGTTGAGGAACAAAAAGATACTATCACATTTTCAAATCAACATATCCTATAAGAATACAAACTATACACATTCGCTAAACTTACCTTCAATTGACGGTTTGAATTATTGCTGAGAAAAGCGCGCACATGATCCAATTGTTTTTTCTTTACTCGAATGCATTATGAGTAAGAGAATACTTACGATTAAAATATCACTTCTAAAATACGATAAGTTCAGTTATAAAAAGATCCATATAAATTCTTACATGTCACAATTCGTTGTCTGAGTAGGCTCACTCGCCTCAATGACAGCGGACTTCAAACAATTAACAAAATCACTGTTTTCATGTGAACAATAAAAATTACGGATTAGTTGACCGATAACAGAAGAGTCTTCAAGCATACTAGTGATTAGTGTGTTTAATTCAGTCTAAAATAAAAAATCAAGTAAGAGTGCCATGAAATTACTTCAGTTGACGCTCTGTTGGACTTCGGTAGTACGAAGAACGACGACGAACTGAAGGTTCAAAAAAACAAAACTTGTAACTTACTCAGTCTTAGACAAAAGGCATAATGACTCCTTCAGACTTCCTAAATCTCTTGCCAGTTTTGGAAGATAATCAATTATAGGGCCAAATGCGCCTTCAAGTAAATACGTTTGAGTAAGTAAACGACTGAAGTCATCATCCATCTCTGAATACCTTTATTAAGAGAAGAAAGTTACTCTATAGTAATTTTTAAAAAATCAATAGTTAAACTTCATTGACTAATCAATAAGGTATAATTAGGGAGCCACATAAAATACATCTTCTAATTAACACTGGTTATTATGAGAGACAGTAATCTCAAGGAAGTGCATAAATTATTTTCCCCACGTAGCTATTCTTAGTTAACCTTATGCTGAGAAAGTCATGGCCGACTAAGTAAGCGAAGTGATAAGAACTGGTTGGAGAGTTACTGTTTATAAGATTAAATTCATTATTCATTGTGCTCAGGTTATGTCCAAATAAAATTAATTCTGTTATCCGTAAAATTCGCTCTCGATCCCGGCTTGTAATTACTAAAACCCGGCGAAGTTAAACTTTCGACACCACTAACTACCAATCAGGGAATTATCCAATGAGATTCACGAACGATGTCGTATTATCCAATGAGGTTCACGAACGCAGTTCAATGTTGTATAGCGCTTGATTCATTTCTAATGCGTGACCTTACAAGGCTACAGTTGCAATTCGAGGAGGTTAGTGTTTTCCAGCATTTCCTGGATTTGAGTTGCTCCGGAAAGAGCGAATTTGTTTGTGTGGTTGTATCATTACTTTAAAAAGCTATACCAAATCAACTGATGGGTTTTGTTCATCTGAAGAGGGTAAGCTGATAATTTTAATATTTCGTAGGAACTTACTTTCACTAGGTCGCATCTCTCCCTAACCCAGATTTTGTATATCTGCAACTAATGGGTGTTGAAACAGGCTGTGAGAGCAGCAGCTGCCGAGATGGAGAATAGCCATGTCTCAACAGTTCAGTGGTACCAGCATTGCAGAGACATCGCATCATGGAAAATGGGGAAAATCACTTGTTTGCTAGGTGGGGAAGACGTTATCGTGCGTGTCGATGAGACAGTGCTGGTAAAAAAGAAATACAACCGTGGTCGCCAGCGAGCGAACAATATTTGGGTAATAGGTTTGTATGACACCTCCCTCCGAAAGGGATTAGTCGAAAGGATAGCAGATGGAAAAGCATTGACAGTCCCATGCTAAACTGGGAGATGTTTCTCTCACATGTTCGAGAAAGATATCCCATGTAACTTTTTCATTCTCTATTTTGTGCTTTTTTTCTATAAATATACATTTCCATTCATCATATATGCCTCTTTAATGTAATTGGCTCGTTCAAGGTCGTTTGCTGATTGGTTGTTAGTGGTGTCGAAAGTTTAACTTTGCCAAAAAACCTTCAAAAGACTTCGATAGCATCCCAATTTACATGTATGGACACATACATGAGACTGGAACTGTATTTCCAATGTAGGTCTTTGCGCGAAAGTGAAGCAGTTCAACTTGCACATACAAATACAAGAAATTGAGAAAATAAAATAAACAGATATGTGAAAGAGAAAGAATAATTACATGGAGAATAATGAGGATTTAACAGATCCAGTAGATCACAAAATGTTAACGTATTTCCATCAATGAGAATGATTTTCCGCCATATCATGTAGATAAGTTGGAGTAATCGTTTCTTGCACATGAAAGTGGGGGAAACATGTACTCAAATGACTTAAAAAATAATAGAACTTTAAAATCTTACTAAACACAGGTGGCAGACCGTCAAAACAAAATATGCGTCGGTAGCAGAGTGGTTAGGACTCTCACCGACCATGCACATGGTCCGGTGTTCGAGCTCACGCCGACGCACACGTGATCTCAATGGTCGGCCTGCGAAATTTGGGCTACCGATATCCACGCTGAAAATTCCATACTTGTACCAAAAAATACGGTATGGAATCAAGCTGTAATCAAAAATAAAACTAAATATAAAAGATGCATATTAGTCATAAGATTGGTCTCGAAACAGCTTTTAAGATTACATAAAAAGCTAACAGGGGTGAATAATAGAATGTGGTGAGGCGAAAACCCCTCATAAAATTAAGCTCGTTCTACTTTTGTGTAAAATGACAATTTTTTGTTAAACTTAATAATGTTAACTTAATAATGCTCAACTGATTATACTGCTATTCCTTCACTTATCTGGGAAGCATCGTTTCAAGTACAAGCGTAACGGACGAAGATGTCAAAGCTAGCCAATCAGAGTCGCAAAGGCAAGATATGCCTTCATCAACCTGAAACCAATTTGGAAATCTTCCACATTCAGCATAAGGAACAAGATTCGCATTTTCAACACCAATGTGAAGTCGGTTCTTCTGTACGAGTCAGAAATTTGGACAGCATGTCACGAAAAGGATTTCTAACAAGTTGCAGGCCTTTATCAGTAGCTGCCATCTTCGCTGGTTGGCTCCACACAGAAGATTAAGTGGCCAGAACGAATGAGCAACAAAAATCTCTGGCGATGAACAAACCAACCAAGAGCCGATCGCTCAAAAATATGTAGAAGAAAGTGGAGGTGGGTCGGGCATACATTGAGGAGGCTACCGAATGACATTGCACTCCAGGCCCTCGAGTGGAATTCAAATGGGTAGCTATGACAACGGGGGCATCCTAGGGTGACATAGAGCAGACCATGTGAGGAAGAGATGAGAGAGTTTGGTCAATCGTGGAGCCAGCTGAAGAAAATGGTAAAAAATAGAACAAAGTGGAGATGTGTTGTTGCAACCCTATGCTTCACTCGGAATGCAAGTGAATAATAATAATAATATAATAATAATAATGTCAATTGTGCGTCGGTGTCATAGCGGTTAGGACGCTCGCCGACCGTGCACTCCTTTACCTCGCTAAGCCAGTAATGCTGGTAAAAGGGAAGGTTGGGCATGAGGCCAGCAACCCCGTCCTGTAAAATTAAACACTGCTACAGAAACTTCAAGCCACTAGCTTGAAGCCCTATGTTCCACTGGGGAACGTGAAGAAAACAAAAAATAAAAATAATGTCAATTATTACCACCCTTACTCTTAAATCCCTAATGATTCTGTTTACCTTGTTTAGCCTCATTTTTTTCATTTCCGCATAAACTAAATTCACAAATAAGTCAGTGACTGCAGTGTGTGTGCAAATATATCACATTCTATAGATTGACTTCATTGTTTAACAATTATCCAAGTAGAGTTCTACAGTACCATGGGACAGTTGCTAAATACATTACTACCATATAGGCCACTCCAAATTACTGGATAAAGTGTATCTACCTAGCTTATAGTAAGAACAAACAGTTGGCCAAGAGGCGACTATTAAGCAACTCACTAGCTCTTATCAGGGGAGGATATACAACTGTCTATCAATCATTAAAAACAAAAATGCTCTGCTCCATCTGAAAATAATACAAATCCACAAATTAAGGTTTGACATCAACCAGTGATAATAGTGGTTTACGTGTATTTACTTGCAAAGTGAGCAATGATTCATACCTGTTGTGAGAGGCCTAATGATATAACCCAGTGAGCCACAGCTCTACTATCGAAATTACAAAATAAAATAAATCAGATTTACGGGAAAAGTAGTACAAGGAAAAGAATATGTTTTGAGTGAGCTTAACTGTGGAAATACCCATAAACAATATGAACAGAAAAGCGAAGGTAAAAGTACAACTACAAGGAAGACTAGAAAGAATACTTCCACGTTAGTAAAAACCATTTTGAATGACGTCATTGGGGACCTCCAACTACTCACATTTAACATCCTAGGGAACTCAAGCAAGCCATCTACACCTCTATCCATAGATCAAACTAGCACTCAGGGCTTGAATGGACAAGTCCCGTGTTTTTGTCTGACCACACTCAACTCTTCCACAACCTCATTCTGAGTAACTTTGTTTTACACGTGTAGCACATCCTAGTTATCTCAAAAGACGAAGATTCATAAGCCCATCGATTACCTTTTTATTCATAGATAATACTAGCGTTGACTGCACAACAGGACACATCTCCACATCCGACACAGAACTGAACGGACGCGAATTTGATCAGCCTTCAACCGCCATTTCTAACGGCTATAAAGTGAGGCGGAATGAACTGCTTTATAGAACGCATGGTTTTTGGTGGACAGCCAGAAAACATGCCAGCGGCAAAGATGACGCAAATTCTGAACAGTATCCACTATTATTAATTAACTCGGTTTTCTTTCAATGATTACATTAAAACCAACGTAAACTCTGACTAACCACATCAAATTCATATGTGATCTCGTTTGTTATACCACTGTTTCAAATGTACCAAAAGAAGCAAAACAGAAATCCCCAAATATGCCACACAGATTGATAAAGCAAATAAAAAACTAAGAGAATAAAAAGGTAAATTATGGCTCAAGAACAATAAAACAATAGACTTTTTATAAAAATACACGAATCTACAGAGCAAGTGAATACTTGTTTAGTCAGAAATACGTCCCTCAAAGCCTGAGTTCAAAATTTAGTATGGAAATCACATCGTCACAAATGTACGTAGGCCTAAAATATAGCTTTGACGAGAAGTTTGGTTGAAAACATTCACAGCTAAGGCATTTAGATACACTCAAAAGTCAAGAACTTGTAACAACCCGACATTTTAATTTCAGTGGTGTCTACCATAAACTACAATACGTTGTTTGATAATTCTTCGGGTCAGACTGCAGTGGTCAATGATATTAGAACTGTGGAACTTGAGATTCATACAAAGGCAACAATACAATATACATACCAAAGCAAAATAACCTTCAGCCAATTAATCATATCGTTACCATTTAGGGTTAAATATTGCTGCAAAAATATGACCTACATCCTAATGGAAATATGCTTATCGAAATATCAAACTAGTTCCTATTTCAGAATATCAATGATCCATTTGATTTTTGCTGTCCCAATGGTATTTTTTTTCATCACCTCCCCCCCCCACACACACACACCAAAAAAGATTTTATTTTGGGTTGGATCTGTAAGTGTTGAAGCTAGACTTAAGATAGTCTTCGATATCACCACACTTACTAAAAACTTCACCGTCTTATGACTTTACCAGTACTCTACCTAACGCGTTGTTTTGCCAAACGCAACCATATGCCCAATTGCCGTCTAACAACACCTAAGCAGACTAAATGCATATAATCTAATGGAAAAATCTTAACCATATCAATTGGAAGTCTCTCAAATACTGATGTGCCATGGTGGTAATCGGCATCTTCCTTACTCCTAAAGCTATTATCTGTCCTGCGACAGCTGTTAACATCCTTAAATACCATGCGTCGGTTTACATAGTTGCCAGTAACGCAACATCTGTCACAACCTTTCCTACTGTTGTGACTTGCTGTAAAAGTGACGTCAGATCTTGCAGGCTTATCGCAGATAACACTGTTAAGCCGGAAGCCGATATGCCTCTCATTGATTTGTAAACCATGTGCATATAAGTCCTCCATGTCAGTTACAACTGGCAATAAAAAACTATTGAAGTCAGACGGCTTATGAAAACCACCATAAACTCCAATAAGAAATATATCACTGAGAAACGGTTTCACCAGTCGACCCAATATCGGCCAAACTTGCTGTGTACCATTGTTAAACAGTGACAATCCATCAACATTCAGCTGCAGATTAACGCAATCAAAAGATGCAAACTGACACCAACAACTCAGTATAGGCGTAAGTATACTTCGCAAACCAATATGATAGTAAACTCCACTACCAATAACAGTTGAGGGGCATGACTGGCTAGTTTTGAGAATGTGTCTTATATTTGTTGGTAATCTTGGAATATGCCGTTTGAACAATCGCATAATCTTTCCACCATCAACAATGGGTGTTTTAGTGGTCATCATAAGCTTTAAGGCAGTCTTCCTAAGCTCGGCCTTTGAATTCCGTTCTTTCGCCTTATCGGAACGTATCTCATGGGACAAAAGAGCACCCACAGCATTACCTTATCAAATAGTCGTCACATTAAATACTAAGAAACCAACTTGGTGAAGTGATTTGCATGTCACTTTGCACGTTTACGACGCTACAAGAAGTTTCATCTACTAGACATTCAACAGCCTCGACGCTGAAATCGGGAAGTATCATCTTGGCTACGTCACCGAGCAACTCCGATTCCAATCTCTTAGTTCGTCTATACAATGTGGATCGGTGGCCTGTCTCTTTTTACAACAAACCTAAAGCACAAGGCTATATTAAAGAGAATAAAGCACTTCTAAGACGTCTAGGGGTATTCACATTACTACCACTTGGTACTGCTTCACTTTCAGTATCCATTTTATTACCTTAAAATGACATTACTGCACATACTTAGCTCACCTAGTCAGGGGTGCACGACGAAGAATTTGAAATCGCGGCTTCGGAAGTCAAACTTTAGTTTGAATTCACATAAACAAACGTGTCAAAATAATGGAAATGAAATCGTCATCATTTGTCTTCATGCCAATTCACAGTGATTACAGACGCATTGTATAATATTCAAGCTGAAATGTTCCTCACCTCGTGCAATCCCCATCTTAGTATGACTGCGCTACAAAACCAAATTCACCCCTTTCTTCCCATGTTTCCCCTGTTTCCCATATTTTCCCACATTTCCCACGTCTCCAGAAAATAGTTGCCCACGTTTGCCCACTTTTCCCATGTCACTTGAATAACTAGCCCACTTCTTCCCACTTTACCCATGTTACAAACGAAAACTGCTCACGTTTTTACCCACATATCCCAGGTCGAAAAAAAAGTAACCGACTGGGGTAAGTAATGATTAACTCAATCAAAGTTTAAAAGCTAACAATGGAAAGAATTCTTAGTATGAGTTGTATTTAACGTAACTAAATAACAGATTTAATAAATAAAGTGACTGTACAACTTAGCTGCAGACGTTACTGCCCAGTCGGTTAATACACATGGGCAAACGTGGGATAAAAGGGTAATTTTGATCGGCAAACACGTGGGCAAAAGATGGTGTAAATGCAACCGATTTTACCCACTTTGGCCACATTTCCCACTTTTTCCCCGTTTTCCCATGTCCAGATAAAATTTGTTTGTCCCACCTTTTCCCAGTTTTCCCACGTAACCCACGTTTTCACCCATTTATCCCATGTGCAGGAATTCAAAATATACCCACTTTTTCCCCGTTTGCCCATGTCATTTTAGAAAACAGCCCACTTATTCCCACTTCGTCCATGTTACAAACGAAAACAGCCCACCTTATCCCACTTTGCCCACATTTAAACGGAAAACTACCCACGTTTTTACCCACATATCCCAGGTCCACAAAAAAAGTAACCGACTGGGTGGAGGTAGGCTCGGAGAGTGTGCAGAAAGAGAGCACAACAAAATAGCGAACCAATGAACGTACGGTAGACTCCCAAGTCAAAAGATAAAACGTGGGTCACCGTGGGTGAGTCCGTTTAAACAAAAGTTCAAAGGTACAATGTGCACTGCAGATCCAACCCATTTCACGTCGACTTGAAATGTGGCATACACTCTTTACAATTGCTTGCATTCAAGCTCAGAAAGTGGTCAGAAGTAATTTAATCAATAGCCGTAAAAACCAAAGGACATAATGGTCTTCGAGTTTTTGAAATATTTACAAAAGTATATAATCCTACTTACCACGTGAATTGCGCGCCCCAACTTCAATTGAATACACCGCAACGCTACATATCGTGTCACGCAATTTGAAGTTAAGTGAGTAAAACCTCATCGTACAGTGTCGACTATAGGAACCAGAAAAGAAATTGCATTTTTTTCAACAATGAAACATTCGCGTGTATAATTGATGTATTTTGGCTTAAAAATCCACCTTCTAGATTATTCCAGTCTACTCCTCAGTCACCTGGGATAAAAGAGATTGGTCTAAGGTGTGTTATTCCTTGTATTGAACACGTGCATGCGTTCGAATTATGCCTGCCGTTAACTCAACATAACCTTTAAAAGGATGGGTATTGTATCCTGCTTAAAATAGTTAAGGTGTTAAGGGAAGACTGTTAATCAGGCTAGTGTGGTCAATGCATAGGAATTCACTATCCAGTAGCCTTCTGACAAAGTATTACTGACCTAACCGGTACTTCTCAATCGCTTCTGGCAGTTAAGGAACGGTTCAAAATCACTGGAGGACTCCAGTACAAAAAGCAAGTAACACGAGGGTCCAAAGCGCATTACCATCATAACATTTAGCTAAATAACAGCTGTCAGCAAAGTCTCATAAACCGTTAATGCCCAGCTCTCGCTACGCTCGGGCCCACGCTGTTCTTAGAAGATTTCTGAGAAACGCTTAGTAACAACGGACGAAAAAACCAGAACACCAATTGTTGACTTGAGTATTATGTATTGTTACACCAGCATATAAATCAAGTATCACTAAGCAAACTAAGAAAACTAAGGTCTGTAAACAAATATTACAATAATAAATCGTTATGTTACTTCTGACGATGTTTAACTCTTCTTTCTGAACAGCGACCGATGAGACGATGACTGTCGTATTGATGCCTCCGCGAAAATCGAGGAAGTTGATTTTGAGCAAACAACCAAGAATTGATCGTTCAATCTTCAACTCCATTGACACTCCCCGGCAAAAAAGGGATCCAACCCTTTTTTCCTTCACGACTAATGCACGTTGACTTGGATGCCATTGCGAGAACCTGGGTCACACGGACAGAGCTGAAATGGAAAACAAACAGAAAAGCCAACACACCACAAGCATACCCACAGCACAATCTCACACATCAATGACGACCTGCGCCTCCAGATAGAGACCTCCTCTTGACATCTTGCAACACAGTCTCCACTTGCTAGAATGACTCTTGCAGAATGCAAAGTGACCATGGCAGCACCTCACGATACTCTACGCACATCCTCTTATCTACTCATTACCAATTACCACTGCAATCGCTGGTCACTCATTCTGCCACAGTTCTAATAGCGGTGACGCATGCGAGCCTCAGTCGTTTACACTCTTTCTCCCCGGCGTGTCGGACCGCAGCTAACAATTGTCTCCGTGTGCATTTCATTCTCAGCAATAGCCTAGCCTCCCCGGCGTATACGACCCATCTGCTGTCGTTAACATCAATCAATTCATTCATGGACGTAGAAGACTAGAAACAACTTCAGAAGTAATCACGACGAAAATTTTAACAAAATTATGCAATAACAACAAGATACGAAAACAACAAGTAAACACAATGAATCCAAAAAACACCAATTGATAGAACACACCACACATATATACAAACAGTACAAACAACCTCGCCGATCATGTCTTGATTGAATTCCTTTGAAGAATTGCAGGACTTACACCAGTACACATGCAACCCTTCACAGGTTGACGATTGTAAGTTGTGGAATGTCCGGACACAAACAAGATTAACCAACAATTACAATAATTGGAACTCACACAACTATTTAACACAAACATATGTACAATGACTACATCAAATGTTGTGGATTCTGACACGACAAACTACCCTTGAAGAACTGTAGGACTTACAGCAGTACGCCTACATTCCCTCTCAGGTTGATGATACAAGTGGAAGTCGTCCGGACACAAACAGAATTACCAACAGATAGATAAAAGATGATATCAATTCAGTATATACAACATGAACATATGTACAAAATCACACACCCAGCACATTGGACTGCTCATTGATGCGCTCCCCTTTGAAGAATTGTAGGACTTACACCAGTACGCCTACAACCCTTCTCAGGTTGACGCTCTAAGTTGGAAAATCGTCGCAGAGTTCATTTGCTAACTTCCTTCTATCAGCTATATCCTCAAATCTGAACGGCAACACGCCCATGTCATTGTATCGTAGAATATGGATGACCAACAAACACACGACATATCTCATCAACCAAGTATAGAAACAGAGTAATTTACACCAAAGATAATAACATTCAAATAGTAACTTGAAACTAGAAATGCCTTTATTCGTGCAAGTCAATTTAACAATAACTCTCTCCTTTACACTTGGCTTATCCACACTAAACTGACCATTGATATTCGTCCTTTCAAACGAACTGATACTACCATAGTCATTGCACAAGATACTTGAGTTCATGGGTGTCTGTTTCATTGTGGATGACAGCACCAACGACGACTGATTGATATCAGTTGATGAACTTAGCAGTGGATCAAAATCTGTTGTTGCTCGCTTTTCAGAAATTTGTCTACCTGCAAGACCACCACCACTGCTGTCTTTTACTATCAGCTCAGGTTTAACACTAGCATCTGATGATAGGTGGGCTACATGCTGATCACTCCCACTGACGGTCTTACAAGTATGCATGCCTTCTGCAACTGAATCTGCATTTATTTCTACTTCACGTTCAAGTTGTACAGAACCTTTATTTAACTTAGCAGTAGTAGGCATTCCCTCCATTTCATCATGATCATTATCACAAATATCCAATTTACCGTCAACTTCATCATTTTCAAACTCTTTAATAACAGAAGTAGACAATTTTGGTTCCTCCTCAAAAATTATTAAAGGTTTTACATCTTCACTCTGACTAGTTATACTTTGTAAACTTTTGGAGTCAGAACTCCACTCTGAAGCAGTAACTCTATTCTGTGACACTCTATTTAGCAACGGCTTACCAGTTGCAACTACAGACTTCTTCACAACAACGTTATCGTCACACAATTCGGAGTAAGGCCTGGAGTTTACATTTAGCTTATCACTGAACTTGCTCACTGGTTCACAGTTCACTTCTGTATGCACCTCTTGCACACGTGTAGAACAAAGCCGTGTTTGTCTTGCATCTTGTAACTTATCTGTTGAGCATGTACTACAAAACCTGTTACACTCACTAGGTCTATATGCATTACTAGACATCATGGAGTCTTCTCGATATCCACCTCCCTGAGGCCTACTCGTCATCAATGAGTGCGTTTTACCCTCAGACTGCTCTATTCTAGGGGTGAGATCTAACAGACTGGAAAACTTGCTCATAGATTGATTGACACTAGTATTTACCAGTTTCAGGATATCATCAAACTTTGGCTCGATACCCTCATCCTCCATACGGGAGCTTATCTTCACCCACTTCCTTTGCAGTCGGGTAGGTAGACGTCTTGCTATTACTTCTAGGATAAAACTCGAGTTGAGGTCACTCATTCGATTCATCGAAATCATTCCATTCTTGTAAATTAGCAAATTATCTAAAAACTCAGTGAGTGCCTGGGAGTCATCCTGTAACTGACCACCATTACCCTCAACAGCCTCGAATAATTTTCCTGCAATCATCGAGGGTCTTCCAAACCTTTGGCGTAATATGCTCATAGCCTCATCGTAGCCCTCCTTTGGCTTCATAAACTTACAACACTGTATAGCTCTTGCAGCATCTCCAGTGCAATATCTCATCAAATACATCAATTTCAATTCATCATTTAATAAAAAACCACTCAACATGATCTCAAACTCCTTTACAAATTGTAAATAATCAGCCGGGTTTCCATCAAAACATCGTGGTTCTAATTTAGGGAGTTTGATGTTCCTATTATCCCTGGACGGCGA